TTATGCAAATTTCAGTTCGGAATATGATCGGGATGGGTTCGACTTGCTCGGAACAAAATCGGAATATATCTGTAAAAAATTTTTTATAGGGATCACTTAAATTGATTTTAAGACCTTGTAAGTACATATATACAAATCAGTATTGATAGTATTTTGAACATACTTAATCGCATTTGTATATAAAAAAAGAATCAGAACACTAATTTCAAAAGTCCAGTATAGCAAAATTTACATTTGTACTTATGGGCTTTCTCTTGACCGTACTTATCTATAATCACTAAGATATGTTTCTTAAATAATCAAAAAAAATTCAAATTAAGAAAAAAAAATTGCAATAAGTGATGGCATACATGAAGCTTGTATAAATTTGAGATTTAAATAATTCTAATATCAATTGTGTTAACTTGAGATCAAACCATTATTGACCGTGCAAACTTGAAATCCAAACCATTATCTATCTTCGCTATTACTTGTAAAGTGAAATCCAATTGTCAGTCATATGAATTTGAGATCTATTTCCGCATCAATGCAAGATTTTACCAAACAGAGCATATAATTAAAGGTTGTTGGTGACTAGAATATTAGTAACTAAACATCAATAATGCTATTCTTTGAAAAAATATCAAATAACGATAGATTATTTATAAAAGGCAAAAATTTAAAATTCCAACTTACTTCTGTTATTTATATATTTTCAGATAGATAAATTTGTAATTGTAGTTATCATTACAAAAATTAATAGATTTTGTATATACTTGAATATAAAAGAACTATTAGTTCTATAAATCACTTTAGATAAAATTTAAGTAAATACTTAGTCTATGTCATCTAAAAATTTATTCCAAAAAAAACCAAAAACAGCTGTTAGTGAACATTTGAAATAAGAAATATGTGAATATTATCAAAACAATCCTAACAAAAGACAAATAGATATTGTGAACCATTTTAATTCTCAAGACCCCAACTTAAATTTGGATCAGACCACTATTTCAAAGATATTAAAAGATAAGTCAAAATAGTTAGCAGTTACAGAAGACCAATTAAGTTCTACAGTTTTTCAGTATAAACAGGTGAAATATTCTTTATTGGATTAATCAATGAGACTCTGGGTTGAACAAATTACCAATAGTGAAGTATTTCTAACAGAATTAATAATTAAGGAAAAGGCGGTTGTTTTTGCAAAAGCCTTGAGTCTAAGCGATAATGCTTTAAAATTTTCTAACGGATGGATCTATAAATTTAAACAGCGCAATAATCTTAGAAATTTTAGATTGCATAGAGAAGCCAACAGTGCATCACTATCTTTGCTTCTGGAATATAGAGAGAAATTGTATAAGTTGATTGAAGGTTATACGTTAGATAATGTGTTCAATGCTAATAAAACAGAGCTCTTCTTCCGTATGGCACCAGACCAAATACTTGCATCCCGATCAAGACCTGGATTTAAAAAGGCTAGTTATTATAAATTATAATAAAGTTAATGATATTGTTACTTATATAATAAGTTATCTGGTATATGAAATTTAGTTCTAGGGTCAGATTTAGTATTACGAAAAATGTATTTACTGTAATTTGTAGCAAATAGCATTTCTTGTTAGCTTACCTATGATTTATATTGTAAATATGATTGTAAAAGACCCAGGTACTAATCAAGATTTTGCTTCTAGGAATGTAAAAAAACTCAGGTACTATTTGCCGCAAATTATAGTATATGTAAAATTGAGCAATAAATATTTTTGCTTAAGCTCTAAATTGGGTTTTATAGTAAAATATTAAGATGTTAGCGGTTTTAATTTTTTTTCATATACCAGGTAACTTATTAGGTACAAATAAAATCTATTTATTTAAGCATTTAATTTTTGTATAATGATTAGGATCATTCACAGATTACTATTATGCTAATGTTTAATGCAACAGAAACTAAAAAATTAAAGCTATTAGTAATTGGGTCCTCAATTTCTCCTTGTGCACTTCATAATATTAATTATGATTCCTTATCTATTACTTATCATGCAAATTCCCGGACATGAATGTGAAATGATATATTTTCTGAATGGTTAATAAATTTGGATCAAAGATTTCACTTTCAGAATCGCCAAGTCTTGTTAATAGTAGATAATGCTTCATCATATTTTCATAACTAACCTAACACTCATGAAACACATGAATCAAATGAATCAAATAAATCAAATAAATCAAATAAATCAAATTCTAATTTAGATGAAGTAGCATCTAATGATTCAGAATCTGAAGTAACAACTGTTTCGCGTGGGAATCGTCAAGGTCGAGGTCAGCCAAGATTAACCTGAACTAATTAAGATGCAAATAATAGTTGTAGTAATCATAATAGTCGTAGTAATTATAAATGTAGTAAATATAGTACTGGTAGAAGTAAGGGTCATTACAGTAGTGGTTATAGTCAATTACGTATTATTTCTGATCATTCAAATGTATAATTAACTAATATTAGACTCAAATTTTTACCCCCAAATACCACTGCACACCTTCAGCCTATAGATACGGATGTTATCAAAAGTTTCAAATCCAAATATAAGCAAAAATATATTTATCATATACTAATGCAACTTGAAAACAATGAAGATTTAAAAAAGTTAAAAACTTATACTTTCGGGCCACCATCAATATAAATCAAGCAGAATAATATTTTTTTTAAAAAAATTAATATCTTAACTTATATAGCCAATATCTTAGTGAACTTCAAAGCTATTTCATGATTTAATAGTCAAAGAAAACTTTGATCTTTCTTTTAATAACTTCGAAGTTTATTAAGACACAGGCCAAGTAAGTTATGATATTAATTTTTTTTAAAATATTAATTTGCTTGATTTCTATTGACATCTTTTAATTCATTAATAAGTGTTTTAATACTAATTATATTTCAATTCAATTAGAAAAAAGTTAAATATTAAGGATGCTATATACTACATATCTGAGTCTTGGAATGCTGTTGAAAATCAAGTAATTGTCAATTGTTGGAGGAAGACCAGAATTCTATCATCAGTTTTCTGTGAAGAACTAGAAGTCACTACCAATAGTCAGAATATGTTGTTAGAACAGCAAAAAGAAGATGTCGCTAACTTGGTAATAGACTTGACCTTTCATGATTCAGATCCGGAAATTAAAAGCCAATTAAACACATATTTAGACCTCAATGATTTGCATATAATAACCGAGGAAAAGCTTGAAGATTCAAAAATTATTGAAATTGTTTTAGATGAAGCAAATCAATGAGAAAATGAAAATCCTGATGACTCGGATGAAGAACAACCAAAAATTACTATTTCAGAAGGGCTAATGGGTTAAATAAATTCATTGGCTTTTTTGAACAACAAATTGATACAGATTTCAAAGCTAAGAACCTTAAAATTTTTTAAAAATACTTAAAATATAGAGAATCTAAGTGCCAAACATCTATTAGTGATTTCTTTATACTGTTAAATGATAAATAAGATTATGATGTATTGTGACTTTTTTTTTTTTTTTTTGTTATACACATATATGTACATTTTATATCATGTGTATATTACCTATATTTTTATTAGAGAGAAATAGTGTTTCGATCCTAAATACTATCTAAATTGGTAGAGATTTTTATTTGGATTAGTTAAATAACTTCAATAACAGATCTAAGAATATGTTAAAAGCTAGCTTTATATATAATTTGACGCAGATTCAATCCAGATGACCTGTCAAAAATAGGATCAAAACATCAGGGAGAAAGATTGTAATAACTTGCGTGATAATTATATAAATAATTCTCAGTATAAAACATTTTTAAAAAAAATTTCTTTTGTAATTCACAATCAAAAAAAATATTTGGTGTGTTAAAATACTTTGATAAGTCCATCGTACTGAAAGTGTAAAAAAAAGCACAGTAATATAATTAAAAAGAAACCAGTTATTGAAAGGCAAATTCACTTATAGTTTATTCTTTTAACACAAAATCGTAATAATCCACCAATCGAAGAAAGAAGATAAGTGCTAAATTCAAACAAAAAAAAATCCTTATATAGTAAATACATATTTGATTAAAACCATGATTGTGTTGTCATTATGATCTATATGAATGTGAAAAGTATCGTAGTCAAAGTTAGTGATTTGAATCCTAATAACATAATCCTAACTTGTAATCTAAGAGCTTTATTTGAAACTTCGATATATCTAAAAAGCAAGAAATAATTAGCATGATTAATATTCTAATAAATACAAGTATAGAGAAAAATAAGTAATAGGTTCTATTTAGCTTTAAACTTCAAAAAGCTACTTTAGCTATATCATATATATATACACACATAATTCTGTTGCACTTATGCACTTTATTAGAAAAAATTTAATATGCTATTAATTTTCCTTTATTAAATCACATTAATTATTTTTAATATAAGATGTGCTTATATAAAGGTAACCTTTATTAAGTCACATCTCTTTATAATCACCTAGTTGGTCATATCTAAAGGTGCAAGCGAACCTATCCCAATGAACCATATGACACACAGCAAGTTACGGTTACAGTTGCAGCAAAAACCGCATGAATCCCAATTGCCGTATGAATCCCAATTTTCATATGAATCCCAATTGCCGTATGAATTCCAATTGCCATATAAATTCAAAATACCGTATCAATAAATTAAAATTTTATATCAATCGATATGTCAATTTAATTAATCAATACTACAATCAATATATGTAATTAACTAGATACGTATAAAAAATATATAATAAATAATGTAATAAAAATAATATATACGTAATAAAAATAGTTTATATATTTTTTTTGAAGTTATTGTCTATTAACGAAAGTTTTTCTACAATGAATACAAGCAAAAACAGTTCGGTTCTAAATAATGATAGTTTCCCATTATCTGAATTAAATTATAACATTAACCAACTTCTTACATGTTAGCCTTTGACTTCTCAACAATTATCAAAACCAATTCAAGAGCAAAATGAAATTATTGCATCTCAGGAAGTTGATGATAGTCAAAATAACTCATCTAAAAAAAATTTTTTGCCTAATCGGCCTAAAAAAAGACGTCGTGGTGGGCCTAAACGAGATCCAGTTTGGGATTATGTTAATATTGGTGATCATTTAGGAGATGGACATTATAGTGCTAGTTGCAGATATTGTCAAGTTATATGGAACCGTAGAAAGCCACAGATACTTAAACGTCATTTAGCACGAGAATGTGAAGAAGTTCCTTATGACATTAAAGAAATCTGGCGAGATAATTTAGCAATGGAAGAAAAAACAATTAGAAGGTTAAATAAAATTGAAACTAAATCAAGATCATCAAACATCATGTCAGAAGAAAGATAGCGGCAGATTGATAGTGCTATTTTAAAAGGATGGATGTGCGCTGGGATTCCTTTTGAGACTATTGATAACCCTTTTATTATCGATATGTTTAAAACTTTAAATGTTGAATATAATCTACCTTCTCGCTATACACTTTCTGAATGCATTCTTGATGAAGAGGTAGCTAAAGTTGAAAAGTTTGTTGATGCTGAATTAGACAATGAAACGAATCTAACATTAAGTAATAATTTTGTTTATTAATTTTTTTTTAAATATTAATTTTTTTAATACTTAATGATATATATTTTTTTAGCACTTGATGGATAGACTGCGCCAACAGGCGCATCATTCTATAATTATATAATTACGACCTCTAATCGTCGAGAGCACTTGTATCAAATTAAAGATTACTCAGCTATATCACAAACTGGAGATTTGTTAGCTGAAGAAATTAACAGTATCTAAATGAAATTGGAGTAGAGAAGTTTGCTGCAATTGTCACTGATCATGGTTCCAATATAAGGCGAGCACGACGATTAGTTAATAAACGATATAATTTTATACTTGATATACGATGCGGTGCACATGCTATCAACTTAATAGCATCCGATTTATCTGAAACGGATGAAATTAAAGATTTAATTAAGCAATGTGGAGTAATAGTAAATTTTTTTCATCGATCTTCATTAGCAAATGCATATTTAAAAAAGAGATTAATAATGATGAATATTGAGGGAGGCGAGCTTAAGACTTATTGTAAAACCCGGTGGGGTTCTCTTTACATGACTGTAGATTCTTTAATCCGTGCACAGCCAGTATTTGATTGGGTAAGTTATAAAATATATATAATTTAAATTTCTATTTATCGTTATATTTAAAATTAAAATTTTTTTTTTTTTAGCTTATTAACAATCATGTGATTACGATTTCTAATAAAACAGTTCTAGATTTAATTCAAAACCACGAATTTTTTAATCAATGTCGCTATATGTCAGCAATATTAAAACCCATAAAAGAAATGGTCAATCAATTAGAAAGTCATTATGCAACTATTGCTGATTGCTATGTAGCATTAATTAAAATCGCGGCAGCTATAAATCGTCTTCCAAATACTAATTTTTTTAAGCCTAAGGCTATAACAATTTATAATTTACGGTTTAAGGAATTTGCGATACCATTATATCAGCTCACATACGGCTTGTGATGGGGGAATAGAAAAGATTTTGATAGCTAATTCAGCCAATGAATCTTTTTGTACATCAATAGTAAGCCACCATTTTAATGCCGTTTCTTTTTCTTTTTTAAATGCTAGAGTATATGGATTCTCTTTACGTTTATAGGCACGAAGTTCAGTTAATAAATCCTTACATGACACTTCGTCATAACCTAATTCTTGCCACATTGTAGCCACTGTTTCACAAATTTGGTAAAATTGTCCTTTTTTTAATCTGGTTCCTAAAAATATATTAATGCATATTAATGCATATATACGTAGAATTAAACAATATCATTATATTATTAAAATTATATATATATACATATATAAGAATTACCTTGATATAATGGATGCAAGTAGTATGTGAGCTGATATAATGGTATCGCAAATTCCTTAAACCGTAAATTATAAATTGTTATAGCCTTAGGCTTAAAAAAATTAGTATTTGGAAGACGATTTATAGCTGCCGCGATTTTAATTAATGCTACATAGCAATCAGCAATAGTTGCATAATGACTTTCTAATTGATTGACCATTTCTTTTATGGGTTTTAATATTGCTGACATATAGCGACATTGATTAAAAAATTCGTGGTTTTGAATTAAATCTAGAACTGTTTTATTAGAAATCGTAATCACATGATTGTTAATAAGCTAAAAAAAAAAAAATTTTAATTTTAAATATAACGATAAATAGAAATTTAAATTATATATATTTTATAACTTACCCAATCAAATACTGGCTGTGCACGGATTAAAGAATCTACAGTCATGTAAAGAGAACCCCACCGGGTTTTACAATAAGTCTTAAGCTCGCCTCCCTCAATATTCATCATTATTAATCTCTTTTTTAAATATGCATTTGCTAATGAAGATCGATGAAAAAAATTTACTATTACTCCACATTGCTTAATTAAATCTTTAATTTCATCCGTTTCAGATAAATCGGATGCTATTAAGTTGATAGCATGTGCACCGCATCGTATATCAAGTATAAAATTATATCGTTTATTAACTAATCGTCGTGCTCGCCTTATATTGGAACCATGATCAGTGACAATTGCAGCAAACTTCTCTACTCCAATTTCATTTAGATACTGTTAATTTCTTCAGCTAACAAATCTCCAGTTTGTGATATAGCTGAGTAATCTTTAATTTGATACAAGTGCTCTCGACGATTAGAGGTCGTAATTATATAATTATAGAATGATGCGCCTGTTGGCGCAGTCTATCCATCAAGTGCTAAAAAAATATATATCATTAAGTATTAAAAAAATTAATATTTAAAAAAAAATTAATAAACAAAATTATTACTTAATGTTAGATTCGTTTCATTGTCTAATTCAGCATCAACAAACTTTTCAACTTTAGCTACCTCTTCATCAAGAATGCATTCAGAAAGTGTATAGCGAGAAGGTAGATTATATTCAACATTTAAAGTTTTAAACATATCGATAATAAAAGGGTTATCAATAGTCTCAAAAGGAATCCCAGCGCACATCCATCCTTTTAAAATAGCACTATCAATCTGCCGCTATCTTTCTTCTGACATGATGTTTGATGATCTTGATTTAGTTTCAATTTTATTTAACCTTCTAATTGTTTTTTCTTCCATTGCTAAATTATCTCGCCAGATTTCTTTAATGTCATAAGGAACTTCTTCACATTCTCGTGCTAAATGACGTTTAAGTATCTGTGGCTTTCTACGGTTCCATATAACTTGACAATATCTGCAACTAGCACTATAATGTCCATCTCCTAAATGATCACCAATATTAACATAATCCCAAACTGGATCTCGTTTAGGCCCACCACGACGTCTTTTTTTAGGCCGATTAGGCAAAAAATTTTTTTTAGATGAGTTATTTTGACTATCATCAACTTCCTGAGATGCAATAATTTCATTTTGCTCTTGAATTGGTTTTGATAATTGTTGAGAAGTCAAAGGCTAACATGTAAGAAGTTGGTTAATGTTATAATTTAATTCAGATAATGGGAAACTATCATTATTTAGAACCGAACTGTTTTTGCTTGTATTCATTGTAGAAAAACTTTCGTTAATAGACAATAACTTCAAAAAAAATATATAAACTATTTTTATTACGTATATATTATTTTTATTACATTATTTATTATATATTTTTTATACGTATCTAGTTAATTACATATATTGATTGTAGTATTGATTAATTAAATTGACATATCGATTGATATAAAATTTTAATTTATTGATACGGTATTTTGAATTTATATGGCAATTGGAATTCATACGGCAATTGGGATTCATATGAAAATTGGGATTCATACGGCAATTGGGATTCATGCGGTTTTTGCTGCAACTGTAACCGTAACTTGCTGTGTGTCATATGGTTCATTGGGATAGGTTCGCTTGCACCTTTAGATATGACCAACTAGGTGATTATAAAGAGATGTGACTTAATAAAGGTTACCTTTATATAAGCACATCTTATATTAAAAATAATTAATGTGATTTAATAAAGGAAAATTAATAGCATATTAAATTTTTTCTAATAAAGTGCATAAGTGCAACAGAATTATGTGTGTATATATATATGATATAGCTAAAGTAGCTTTTTGAAGTTTAAAGCTAAATAGAACCTATTACTTATTTTTCTCTATACTTGTATTTATTAGAATATTAATCATGCTAATTATTTCTTGCTTTTTAGATATATCGAAGTTTCAAATAAAGCTCTTAGATTACAAGTTAGGATTATGTTATTAGGATTCAAATCACTAACTTTGACTACGATACTTTTCACATTCATATAGATCATAATGACAACACAATCATGGTTTTAATCAAATATGTATTTACTATATAAGGATTTTTTTTTGTTTGAATTTAGCACTTATCTTCTTTCTTCGATTGGTGGATTATTACGATTTTGTGTTAAAAGAATAAACTATAAGTGAATTTGC